CTCACTGAAGTCGGATGTGATCACGCTGCCTGTAGATTGCGAGGACAGCCGTCGCTGAGGCTCTCCATCCAGTAAGACAAGATCTCGTTTTCGCTTTATGCTAACTTTGGGTGATGAGAAGTTTAAACCACCCTGTGAGCGAGCAAAGGGAAAAGATGCACCTTCAGCAGTCCCATATTTTGACTTTTTTAACATTGACCTTCGTTTACTACCTAGAGAAAACCATTCCGGTTCTCTGATGATTCCGGCCTCACTGTTTTTTTTAAAAAGGCGTTTGGTTACCAACTCATCCCTGTCATCTGCATTATCGCAGGACTGGATCGCATTGTAAGAGTGCGCTCTGTCAGGAAGATCTGTCGGGGGGAGTCTTTTGGGTGGCTGGTCTGATTTCGTTTGACTAAGTATCGAGCTAGTTGATTGACTCAGTTCTTCGGATGTCCGTGTGGCGTCATCACAGAAAACTGATGAGCCTCCGCCGTCAGTCATGTCATCAGAGGATTTTACAGGCCTTATAGATGAATTTGGAGCGGTCCTTCCGTCCAGGGTAGGCTGCAGACATCCATTATATTGTGTATTTACAGAAGTGGGTGTTTTGCACTTTTCCTGTTTCCGTCTCTGTGGCCTGTCGACGTCACTGGTGTAGGATGACTCATCGTCAGAGACAGCAAGCTGCATGGGATCGACTGTGACTGGCTTTACTTCATTCTCTTCATTTGCGCAATTCACAACAGAAACTACAATGGGTGGGATGACTTCGACATTGTAATTCACAGGAAGGAACCCCCCAGTTGGATTCAATTTCACTTCCGTTGATTTGCGATGTTGATGTGCACTTTCCTCTTCTGTAGATGTAGTAGTTACGACCGATTCTGAAGATTCTTCCATTCCTTAACGAAAAGAACACAACACAGTGAAAGAATAGAAGTTGATGACCGTACTTGGTCGGAAGCTGAAATATATCTAACGGCTTCCTCGGATTATAGAGGATAGTTACCATAGGCCTAGACAGATAATGCCGTTAAGGTAATGCTGGTATCTACGAGCGCATTTATTTTTAATAATGGTTAACTACAATATTCGGAAAGCGACTGTGCATTGCTGGAGATTCCTAGCATAAGACCGAAGCTTATTTAAAAATAAATCTGTTAGGTGCTGAATATTTTAAGCAGGAAACGTTTATAAAAAGACAATTGAATGAAAACATAAGATATTGGAATAGGAGATCCCCGTAATAAATGTGGCCCTGTGTTAAATGCCGGTCTAGGTCTAGTTGTGAGGTCAAGATTTTGGTAGTACAGAATGTTAAAGGTAGGGTTAAAACCAGGGGAATAAATGGCCTCCCTGTATCTTAACGCATGCCCATCTGAATTCTTGGGAAGTGTCTTTATTTTGGAGTTTTACTTCGTTAAAATTTTAGATCATTTTTTCAACCTGGACCACATAAAAATGTCCTGATCACCTATAATATCTACAAATGATTGCATACTGCAGTTTACTACGTTATGTCCCATCTTAACCTTAGAGAAAATATGATTCCTATTTTGCCTACATATTCTGACTGTATGGCTGACATGATCCTGTACAGTACCCAACCTCAAAGACAGTTTAATAGAACGTTATTGACCAAAGACCATTCCGGCAACCGCCATTAGGGTCTGCCAGCTGACTATGGGCTCTTGCGAACCCACATATGAAAGAGGCAGGTGAACAGAAAAAGAGTGTAGGTGCAAGTAGAGGTAATAAGGGAAGACACTACTGGCGATCTCTAAAGGGGAGAATCGGGATACCTCCAACCAGTGACTTTATAACATTAATTCTGTGAGAAGGTTTCTGATCTCAAATGATGAAAAACCAGGCCCATCTTTGGCACATCAGGTCTGCGAAGAAAATATCACAGTGAACTTGGTGTGTCAAAACCTACTTATAATAGCGTCACGATGGGTTTCGCGCACTTGCAAGATTATTTATTTATTTAAACGACAAAGCTCATGCAAAGTTAGGCTAGATTCGGAAGTATGCTTCTAAAGGGAACATAAAATTGTACTCTAAAATGTTGTGGATATTCAGTAGATATCTTTACAGGTACCAAATTATCTCCCACATGAAAAAGTAGCGGTGACATTCCTGTGCTCTTAAACATTTGTTTCTTCTGTGCTCTCTTTACTTTCCATAGGCATCCCAGGAAGAATGCGCTTTAAGTTACCTGCTTATATATTTGAAGAAACTAGGTGAAATGTAAAATTTATATCTGGCGTAATAGTGAATTTAAAAGACTTAAGCATGTCTCTCCGCCTCCACCCTACATATCCTGTAAATGTGACGAGGCAAGTTCATGTGTCTTTTCATGTCTTTATGAAGATACCTCTCACTAGTGTAATTTAATTATAACCATAGAGCATTTTATATACGTTACAGGTAACAGTAATCAAGTAGGAGTTAATTGGCGTCGAGAATAACCAGTTAAGTGCTTTAAAGGGTCACCGCATTTCGGATTGTTTTAAAACGGGTTTAAATTACCCCCAAAATAAAACAAAATCGGTTTAAGGCAGGAGTTGATATGAAATGCGCCTAAAAGGTTATTATTGTGCGCAGCCCCTTCCCTCAGAAAGTGCGACTAAATAAATAAAATAATTGAAAGCTCTTGAATAAACAACAGGTTATTTGCATATTCATTTGAGTTAGAAGTTTACTTGCAAATGTTGGGCCCATCTTTCAATTGCGTCAAGGTATATTTTATATTTGAAAGGCAATAACTTAAGTTAATCAGTCTATATATGTGTGCATTTTCACAAAAACGCGCTTTGACATGCAAAACAATAAGGAAAAAGGTTGTTTAGTCGTGGTACCTTGATAACCGTCATTACAGCTCACTAACCTGATGAAATGCTCGCAGAGTGTGATCGTTTTGAATAAATGCTTGGGTTTACTTCTATGGGCAAGTCAGTCAGGGAGCTCTGGAAGGCTGCAGTCCTCAGTTCTTCTTCACTAGTCTGTAGAAACGGTCGAGGAAAAGCCGTATGTATTAAGTAATTGATATTTATCATCCAACTTTTGTCTTATCTTCAGGTTAGTCTACAGGGCATTTTAGTGAATGTCAATAATACAAAATCCGCTTGATGACAAAATACCTTATAATTCGCTGACTATCATTTTTACGCGATGGGTTCATAGTAGCTGAGTAAACATACGGCATAGAAGAACCCTTGTGTTAACTTTTATCACCAGGCTTTGGCTCATATGAAGCGAATCTCGACAAAAACCTAACAGCTCTTTTAGCTGCATGATATGTCGACGTCTAAGTGTTCTTTATGATCAATCATGACCTCCAGAATTAAGAAATGTTCAAAAAGTGTCTGGAATATCATGTTTTGAACATGAATTAGACGAATTAAAGTTAGTGAGCTTGGGCAAGCTGCATCACTGAGCCTTTAGGTGCACACTCGGTCCAAACGCGTACGGTATTTTCACACCAAATATATTAAACTTCAACTTCTGTACAGACCTGGGCCCCGAATATGACACTTTAGTAGAGATATAATTGTGGAACTGACAATTGCGGTCATCCTCTTACTTTCAGATATCTTACCTGCGGATGTTTAAATACGCTCATGCTTCACAGACAAGTAGGATGAAGATTCGGCAAATATAAAAATGTGTATGCTATGCATTTGAAAGTTCGTTCTTATTAACGGCGGGTGCAATAATAATAATTGGACTACCGGAGAGAAATCGGAATTTTTCGAACTGTCTATCTTCTCATTTCCAGTGAGGGGCTCCGAGGCTAAAATGCAAAAAACAATGCAAATTTATTATGGATAAACAGACAATGATAAGAGAAATCTGAAATTTAAAAAAACGAAGTACGTTTGTTGTGGAATATTTTCGTTTATAATTAGCGCCAACATCACAATATTATCCCTAACAAGAGAGAGATAGAGAGTTGAAGCTACGCGTGCACCCGAAGAATAAAAAGAGAATTTCCCCATCTGCCAGATATCACAGTCCACAGTACCGAGAGCACACGGGAGATTGGAATGACCATTTCTACAGTAAAAATACGGCCACATTTAAAGTTCTTTTTGAAAATCTTTTTTTTTTTCAAGCTACATATTTGGTTCGGAATTTTAACGTATCTTACTAGTGGTGCACTAAGAAACCTCTAGAGAGTTCACTTATGTAAAGTTACCTCAATTGAAATGATTTCAAACTGGCGTTTACAATCGGCGGAACTAACAAAGCATGCGGTCTTGCCTCTTCCTTCAAAGATAAGACCTCTGTTCGGTAGCCGTGGGCTTCTGCATGCTCTCTGGTGACCGCAATGTGTTGTGTAGAACAGTCATACAACTAGCGAAGCAAGCTTCAGTCCTGCGCGCAGGTCGATACACCCTCGCACCGCTGTACAAGGGTGTGACTAGCACACTGCTTGCATGCGTCAGAGCCCTGACAAAAGACACAAAAGCCTATATGTGCCTGCTCGCATGATTTCTCGTGGGGCGGACGCCGCCAGTCTAAGGTCAGGACTCGCGTCTTGTGGACGAGGGCATCCGCTGGGGCATGTAGTCAGAACAGAAGGTGATTTCTTTCATGTGTCTATGCGCGAGTGCATATGCGGTCAGGACTCCTGGCCTAGGATTACGAAACTATTGGTTGCCTGTTTGGCAGGCAAACATCAACAAAATACCAGGAGAATTTAGATAGGTACCAAAGGACTTGCTGCCTCTGCTCAGAGGATTTAACACTTGATCAATATTTTCAGGGCAATGAAACAGCGTCACACAACTCTATTTTTTTCAAACTAGATAAAAGTATGAAAAGCATTATGTTTGTGTTGAAAAATTATTGATACTGGTTGGAACTTTATGGATTAATGTTTCCAATATTAGCTGCAACTGCTGATTTGTGAAAATGTCTGCACGTGTACTGTTTCTAAGGCGAGCAGTGTTGCTAGTAACGGTAGGAACAAATCCGCAAACCGAAAGAGCAATGCATTTCTAGTAAATAAGCAAATGAACATCTTTTGTTTTTCTTGGGAAAACAAATACGGTGCCTGGTATGCGCAATGGTAATTATTACAAGAACTAATACTGTCGTACAAGAGAAAGTGTTTCTTAATTGCTTCTATTCGTCACGTAGCTTCAATAATAAAACACCTAAAACAGACATTCACATCATTTGGAAAATTTGTAATTGACTTAAATGGAAACGGACACCGGCGAATGCCTTAATATATAATCAGTCGAATCTTCATTCTCCGGAACACACAATATACAATGAAGGTCTTCTTTGTGAAGTTAATTTTCCAAGACAGGTCATCCGAAGAAGAACATCAAAAGGTATCTGCCAAAGGTGTAGTAACCAGCTGACGTTTCAAATGGTCATACCTTTGTTCATTCTTAAAGTCGGGATCCCATTAGGAAGCCGAGTAAAAATTTCATATTTCTCGCATATTTAACCTTGAACTTATCGATGTTTGTTTTAATTTCTATCACGTTGTCTATTTATTGACATCTGATTGGTGTTTTTTTGAAGTGGCGGTTAAAACTTATTTGGATGACTGGAATAGAAAATCTATAGCAAATGTTTTCAGTAAGATTGTTTTACTGTCTTTCAACCAGCTGCCTTGCGCAAATTGGTTTGAGTTCTATTTTCTAATAACCTATCACGAGGACGTTCAAATTTGTCATATTATGGGATATTTGGATTAAGGCTGATACACACGAAGTCATGCCGGGCCAAAGTTGAAATATAGAAACGAATGCTAGTCAAAAGAACAGATGTTGAAATTGGAATGCTGCCTTGTACATCAGATGAGTCCCGAAAATCTCATTTCTCCACAACAGAATCTCGTGATCGGTATGATCTACATATAGTCGAGAGGTCCTAGC